GGACGTGGTAAGCAAAATAGGGAAGTACCGGTGGGTAGGGAAGGCAAGAAAGGGCTTAGACCCGAAGAAAAGGGGGGAGGGGGGAGTCGGATTCCTGGTCAAGGAACACTTGTATGACGTGGTGGAAGTAGTGGTGAAAACGGAGTTCGAGGAAAGCCTATGGCTTAAGATACCTGGGGAGCGGGGTGAGAAAGATTTGTTTCTAGGGAACGTATACGTCCCACCGTCGTCGAAGAAAGTCGCAAGCAAGGCGCAGGAGAACTTCGGACAAATTGGGGAAGATGTCCAGAGGTTCAGTAGGAAGGGAGAAGTTGTCATGGTGGGCGATTTCAACTCCAGAGTAGGGAAAGCTTGCAGAAGAGGACAGGCGATCGGGCAGCACGGAGAAGACAAAGTGAATGACAACGGAGTGAGGATGCTTGAATTCTTGGGAAACAACGAGCTGATGGTGTTGAACGGTAGGAGGGAAAGCGATAAGCCAGAGTTCACCAGGCAGAGGGCAGTTTGCAATGAATACTCGATCCTCGACTACATCCTGGTAGATAGGGGGAGCACACAGGTCCCGGAGCTGCACATAATAAGTGCGATAGATATAGGTTCGACCGACCATTTCCTCATATGGGCAAACATCGACCGATCTAGAAAGACGGAGAGTAAGAAAAAGAGGAAAGTGTTCCGGTGGAAAGTAGAGCGTTTGGGAGACGAGGGGACACGCGATGAATTCCAGAAGGGATTGGCTGGTAGTGTAGAACCCTTCAGGAAACTGCTGAGAAGCGTCGAAGACGGAAAGGTAGACGTACAAGCAGCAGGGGACAGGGTGATTGAAGGATGGGAGTCCATAGTGAACACAACGGCAGAGAGAGTAGTGGGAAAGAAGGTGGTATACGATGTGGGGTATCGGTTAAGTGGTGGGATGACGAGCTGAAAGAAGAAATAGGGGAACGTAGAGAAGTCTTCAAGCAGTACCTGGGTGAGGGGTCTGAAGAGAGTTGGGAAAAGTACAGGGCCAAGAGGAAACAGGTGAAGGGACTAGTGAAAAAGAAGAAAAAGAGCATTTGGGACGAAGTAGTGCAGAAGGCCAACGGAGGCCTGGAGGGGAACGTCAAGCAGATGTGGGAAGGGATTAGTGGGATGGTAAAAAAGACCGCGCAAGGGGGGGATACAGGGGTAGCAACATTGCGAGGTGTGAACGGTGGACTTGTCAGCAGTGGGAAGGGAAAAAGGGAAGTTCGTAGCAGGACACTACAAGAGACTTGGAGTGCCTTCGGAGAATGAAGATTTTGACCAAGTGTTTAAGAAGGAGGTGGACGCATGGGCCCAGAAAGAAGAGACATCGAAGGCAGACGTTGGGAACGTAGAACTAGAAAAGGAGTTCACTGAGGACGAGGTTGAGGCGTGTGTGAACAAGCTGCAGTGCCACAAAGCAGCAGGGGCAGATGGGATAGTAAACGAGTTCATGAAGTTTGGGGGCAAGGGGATGATCCAGCTGATGGTACTGCTGTACAACTGGGTGTGGAAAAACGAGTATGCGCCAAGTAGATGGAGGGAAGGAGTGGTTGTGAACTTGTTTAAGAAAGGAGACAAGACTGACCCAGGAAACTACAGGGGTATCACACTGTTGAACACAGTAGGAAAAGTGTTCTGTAAGCTACTGAACGATAGGATAGTGGGAGTATTGGAGAAGAAACGTAGCATTAGTGAGGGCCAGGCAGGTTTCCGACAGAAGAGGGGGTGCGTAGACCACGCATTCACGGTAGGGAGAATCATCCAAGGTAGAAAGAGGGCGGGCAAGCGGACGTACTGCTTCTTCCTGGACGTGAAAAAGGCATACGATACCGTATGGAGAAATGGGCTGTGGAAACAATTGTCCAAGTACGGGATCAAGGGGAAAATGTGGAGGGTGCTGAAGAAGATGACAGAGTGTACGAAAAGCGCGGTCATGCTAGACGGAGAACTGTCTAAATTCTTCGACATTGAGCAAGGGGTCCCACAAGGTTGCACGCTGTCCCCAACATTGTTCCAGGTGTTCATCAACGATCTGTTGGAAGTCGTAGAGGCAGTCCGGAAGGGAGTAAAAGTAGGGGACACGGAAACTTCGGTGTCAGGAATGCTGTTTGCGGATGACTTTGTTGGTATGTCGGACACCCCTGAGGGACTGCAACTGCAAATTGACGCGGCGAAGAAGTTTACTGATAAGTGGAGATTGTCTGCCAACGTTACGAAGAGTGCCGTCATGGTATGCAACGAGGGCAGGGAGGAACCAGTAGAACATAGATGGAAGTGGGGGATCGAGGAGATTGCAGTAGTCGACCAGTACACATACCTCGGAGTAGAGATCGCAAAAGATTGCTCGTGGAATGCACACATGTCCAAGGTAGCGGAAAAGGGCAAAGCACGAGCAGGGAAGCTTCACCCAATACTCGCAAACCGGCACCTTGATACACGCATCAAATTGACGGTTTTGAAGAGCGTAATCGTACCGCCGCTGGAGTACGCCGGAGAAGTATGGGAAGGAAATAAGAAGGTAGTGAAAGAACTCGAGGCGGCGCAGATGAAAGCAGCGAAAATCATCCTAGGATGCTCCAAGCGCACA